TTTGCGTTGCCTCGCATTACCTTTGCGTTGCCTCGCATTACCTTTGCGTTGCCTCGCATTACCTTTGCGTTGCCTCGCATTACCTTTGCGTTGCCTCGCATTACCTTTGCGTTACCTCGCAATACCTTTGCGTTACCTCGCAATACCTTTGCGTTACCTCGCATTACCTTTGCGTTGCCTCGCATTACCTTTGCGTTGCTTCGCGTTACCTTTGCGTTACCTCGCAATATTGTTTTGTGTTTCCACGCAAAAGTTTGATTTGAATATGGACTGAATTAAATCAGACTTTTATTTTGAAATATCCAGTTACCAAAACAGGATGTCTCGCCACAAGTTCGTGAAACTGACATTGATGTTGCGTGGCTGCACTGTGTTAAAATATCGGCATATGACATACTTCCATGCGTGGCTGTGTGATATATTCAGTCTAAAGCTGAATTAAAGCAGTAGGCTAACTCGCTAATGGTGAACATGTGAGTTTGTTAATAAAACGGCAGGCACAACAGTGATAAACTACTTTTGCGAGGGAACGCAATACTATTGCGTGGGAATGCAAAAGAAAAATAATCTCCCGTGTCCACTCGCGGGCTCCGTATCATTGCTCTGACATCAAACTAAAAAAAAAGAAAAAAAAAGAAACCTAATATGGGTAGTTTGTAAATTCATCACGAACCAACGAATTTATTTTTAAATAGAATTTTAGCAACTCAGCTGAAGAAGTTTATGCTGCAATGAGACATTAAATATAATATTACTACAAGTACTGATTGTGGAGCTAAACCCAAATTATTAATATTTTTATTCATTTATTTACATGTAACATTTTAATTGTGAACTTATTCCTCCGGTGAAAAGACATGCCCCATCGTGTTTTAAGTCTGAATGCTCATGATCAATAGGGAAACAGGGAAGTGCGTGGTCACGCAAATATGTCCTCCAAAGGCTGGACCGTCTCGTTTCACAACCATTTTGTGCAGTCTACCTGGACTGAGACACTGGGCACGCAGGGTTGGCCATATTAAGTCCCATCTGAAGTACGAGTGGGAGGGGCTTATAAAGCCCTCCACAGCGAGTGAGGACGTTACACTCACTTGTGCAGCACAAAATAGTGGTCGGCATGGAGGATGGGACGTATAAATATAAGTTCCGCACATGCCAGGGTTCCCACGAGTCCTTGGAATCTTTGAAAGTTTGTGAATTTGAAAAAATGATTTCAAGGCCCTGGAAAGTTTGTGAAAACAGCCAAAAAATTACACTTGTCCTTGAAAGTTCTTGAACGTTTTTTGGGGATTGAAGTCCTTTTTTCACACACCTGATTTTCATCATCTTAAAAATAATAATAATAATAAAATTAAAAAATCTTACATTTGTTGCAGTTGATAATTTAGGATTACAGTAAACTAATGTTGCTTTTAACAAATAATGGTTTTATCCAATCAGAGCAGAGCAGGGCGGGTCGTTCTTTCTGAGCCCAGGTGAGAGCACTACAGCTCCTCCTGTCCTCACCGAGGGTCCGGACATGTTCACATCCCCTCCTCCCAAACTGAGCTGCCCAACCTCCCAGGACATAATTACACGTTCATATATTGTGGATATGACTGTAGGGTAAACATTTAATCCACTTTATTTCATTGATTCTGACTCAACAACTTCTATGTTCAGTTTTTCATTGAATTACATGATATTAAACCTGTTTATTGGTAACACTCTGTGGTAGCAGGAGGTAATTGCCGTCACGCGTGGTTCTTAAATTTGAGGAAATTGGTACTGGAAAGTCCTGGAAAATTCCTTGAATTCGACGTTGACCAAGGTGTGGGAACCCTGACATGCTTTAAACGAATAATTACTAAGTAAACAGATCACCAACAAATATAATTTCACAAAGACTATATAAATCATGTTCAAATCAATTCAAACTTTATTAAAGACACAGAACTCTGGTCCATATTTAAAAAGAAGAAAGGAAAAAAGAAAGAAAAAGTAAATAAAATGATTAAAAAGTGCATTTGTTTTGACAAGTTATCACACTGTGTTTTTTACAAGTAAAGTCATATCTGAAAACTCTCTAAAATGTGGGCCTAATATATAT